AGCCGCGGACACCTCCAGGGTGTCCCGAACTTCTGCTCCGCGCTTCCCGGCCCTTCCCCTAGAGAAAAGCAGCCAGTGAGGGGGTGTCAGGGCTTGCAGCTCCTTCCCTGACAGAAGCTGTGCCACGTCCTGCCACACGCGCCGTTCCCCCGAGCTGACTTTGCAAACGCGGGAGAAAAGTTCTGCCTTGTTTACAGTCGCCTTGTTATAATAAAGCACTTTTTCACTAACGAATATTTCACGGGTGATGTACGAGAAGATTATGAGCGATGAGAGTTGAGTCATTTTTAGTGGAAGTCACAAACGTGTCAGGACATCAGCTGCAGCTCCGCTTGCCCAGGGAGGAGCCGGGGCTCGCGGCACCGGGATGCTGGTCTTCCCCGGTCATCAAAGACCGGCTCCAGTTTTGTTTTAATCCCCACACTAAATATTGCACCGCGCTTTGCTGTAAAGTGTCAACGCCTCGCAGCTGATTTCAACTTTATCAAAGACCCTGCTACATATTAACAGTTAAAAGAAAAACAGACAAAGCTGGTAGGAATTAAAGTATGTGTGGGTCACGGCGTGTTTGTGTATGTGGAAGAAGTGTTTGGTTTGGCATTAGGTGTATGGATCCTGATCTGTGAGCCTGTGTGTGTGCCTCTTGCATACATCCCACCTACATCAATTTGCACACAGAGACCATGGGCTTCCCAGCTCCAACCGAGAATTTATCATACTTTTCATTATGGATTTTTTTTGCTCTATTTTTTTTTTTTTTTTTTGCTTGCTTGTTTTGTTTGATTTTTTTATTTTAAATAGAGTCTTCAAGGCTCAGGATCTGTAAATAAAACGTGAAAAGATATAATGTCGTGGCCGTCGTGGACGAAATATCAGCGACTAAAATATGAAATAGATGTCTTTGGTGTGTATGAACACTGTGTACATACTATTATAATTGTAATGTTTGTAAGATTATTTTTTTTAAATCAAATTAATTGAGCTGGATTTCAGAGCCTGCACATATCGGAATGAACGTGCATAAGTAGAATGTTGCTGGTGATCATTCAGAAATTAATTGCGTGTTGAAGAAGTTTTGTGGTGGAAAGAAAGCGACCGTGGTTCTTTTCCAGGTGTCTCCTAATTTGATCGAAATATCGGCCGATAGTTCTGTTGCCTTCACAGGGAATTAAAACAAAGAAAACAAACAAAAACCCCTAAGAACAAAAACCAACAAACGAACATCAAACAACCGAACAACAACAAATTTTCTATGGCGGTTTTGTGGTTATTTCAGAAATGTGAGCTGCCCATTCAGTGTATCACACTTGTAAACTGTGGTGCTTCCTCAACCTAGATAAAATTACCTCTGGTACAGGGGATCGATCTACCCCCCTCCCCCGCAAATGCCAGGGTCCGAAAGCGATGGCATGCTGGGCAGGCAATACTCTCGGGCAGCTGCCGAAGCCAGAATCCTCGTCGGTGTTGTTAGCTGACCTCCATTGGGTATTTTGCAAGGCAGGAGGCATTGAACTAGTTGGACCCCGACCCAGCCTTTCGTTAAGTTCATTATGTAATTAAAAAAATGGAAGAGGGTGAGCGTCCGTAAAACTTCCGATCGCATCACCAGCGTACTTCGAAGCAAAGTCTCCGGACGTCTCCGCCAAGGCTGCCCTCCCGGCAGCTGCTTCCCCGCCCGCAAAGCCTGGGCTGCCCCCGGCCAGACTCTGCCCTCCGCCCTTCACCCGCCGCCGCCGGGCCCGGCCGCTTCGCACAGGCGTCCCCTCCCTCCCGTAGCCTCAGCACAGCTCGGCGGCGTGTGGCCGAGGACTATCTCCGGGAGCACGGCTTCTGTAAGCCTGGCCCCGCGACTCCTGGCCCGGCCCGGCGCCCCTGAAGCTCCCCCAGGGTTGCTGGGATGCTCGGGCGTGACCCTGGGCTGCTCTCCCACGCTGCCCGGCCAGTTTCTCTCCCCATCTGTGCCTACAATTGTGCTCACAATTGTGTCTTTTTCTTCCTCCCCGCCGTGTCCTCCAACCTGTCTGTTCCCCCTCCTTCCCTCTCCCACCCCTCCACCCCCGAGCCCGCCTCTGATCTCCTGGATATTTGGTTTCTTTCCCTTTCTCAATGTGTGTTCCTTATGTGGTCCTGTCGGAAAAGCTCGTTTACTCTGCTCGGGTCTCCAGTGGTTTAAGGATAATGTTTATCAGAAGTGAACGTGCTCAACTTGTTTCCATTCAACTGCTGAGTGTGGGCTGAAATACCAAAGGTCACATCTACAGTGAGTCGGTAGAGGGCAGGGGGAGCCGAGAGGAATATGAAAACATCATAATATACGACAGCATGATGATCGCTTCAGACCGGCCTGGCAAAAAGATTCATTGTTTTTTTTCAGGTAGGAAATCATAGAAGAATCGGAGGGGAAAGGCGTCAGGGAGAAGAGGGCAGGGGGCCCCGCGGGGTCGGAGGGTCTCCACAGTGGAAGGTCACGCGTGGCCGGGCAGGGGGCTCGCCCTGAGGCCCCTCTGCCGGCGGCGCCCCGGACCGCACCCGCTCCCCCACCGCGGGGTCTCCCACGGCTGGGCAAAGCAAAGCGAGGGTGGGGAGGGCTGAA